GAAAATTGTGAACAAAAATAAAAGATGAAACTTTTTTTTTCCATTTTACAACCCAAAAAACTCATTCTAGTCAAGATAATGTCGTACAACAACTTAAAATTTCTAAATATTAATACAGTTGACAGGGCAATGAATAAGCAAGGTGCACATGGCTGTAAAAATAAAAACTCTAGTAGAGAAATGCTGCACTCCAGGTAATCACATTCAGAATAGTAACACATTACCACAGGGCACTTCTATCCAGACTTAGTTATCTGGAAACAAAATACAAGTTTTATTTTCCCTGAGTTAAATGTCACTGAGGAAGAGTGCTTGGAAAAATATGCTGCTGTGTGTATTTGGATCACGATGATACTATAATGGCCAGTTTCTCAAGTCTGTGACCAAATAATTGCTGACGACTTGTAACAGAAAGCTTCGGGTACCATTGCAGTCTACACTTATTGTATCAATGGACACCTCCAACCCAACAAAAGGTTTAAACTAGACCATCACTTAACTGTTTGAGGTAGTTTTTACTCCTGCATCAATAGCTGTTTCCACAAAAACACAATTTAAACTGTTTAAAATTTTGAAAGTTCACCAAATTACTCATTAAGGATACAAATTTATAAAAAATTACAATGTAATATACATCAAAAGTGAATAAAGTATAAAGTAAAGTACAATTACTGAAGTGCTATGGTTTTCAAAAACACGGATAATGAAAATACGTCATGCTCCATCATTTCTCTTCCAAAAATGTCATATAAACCTTGACTGCATTGCGACCTTCAAACGTGCTGTGCTTGGTGCAAATAAATTCCAAACAGAAGAGCTCATTAAAAAAAATGAATATTTGGACAATTAATGCTTTTGTTGTAAAGTACATTGAGATCTAGTAGTAACCTAAGAGGAATGTTGAACTGTAGATTTAAACGGTTCTTACAAGACAGAACAAAATAAGAGTAAGAATGTTTTCTACAAAAAAGTATTAGTGCAACCTCTGATATCTACAACATTGTTCACACAGCTTCAGGTTTTGGCTACAAAGCAGCAAATACAAGTGTTATTGCTACATACATTCAACCTGAATCAGTAGGCTGAATATTAAGGCACTAATGTGATGCTGAGTGAGATAAGAAAGTTTTCTTCTTAAAATTCTCAATTTATGACAGGATGTGCCAAGTCTTGGTAGGAACTGATGCATTGTTTTATTTCAGTCATCCATTGTTACGGTATAATCCTGCATCAACTTGAGTTTCCTATATGCAAAAATTGAAAAAATTAACTTCCAAAATATCTCCTTACAAACTTTCCTATGCCATTTAAGCATTTCAAGCCTAACAATGGGAATTTTTAATTCTTCAAATGGGGTTGACATTAACATGGTTAAATCAGATGGGAAATAAGGATTTTTAAAAAATAAACTGCACCATGATTTCACCATACTCAGCAACTCAGTATGAATAACTGTTTGTTTCATTTGACTAGAAAAACAAAAAGGTGTGACAAAATGCAAAGAATTGGATTTTCTCTGACAACTAATTACTTCCTTAAAGTGTTTTCAAATGCTTGATTTGTTAACTCCCTCAGTGATATTGTTTAATGAACCTGACAATTGGAGTTCTTTTGTTATACGCTCTCAACTAGTTTCCAATTAAAGTACAGTCAGGGGGTATGTTTGTCACTATGATAAGCATTAGCCATTGAATACATTCAGTTTTAAGCTGATCTGAGCATAGGAGGGTCTGTTTTGAACACCATGTGCCTATGTGAGGTGATTCACTTTGGAAGGAGTAACAGGAATAGAGTGTACCGGGCTAATGTGCATAGATCACTGAAAGTTGCCACCCAGGTTGATAGCATTGTTAAGGCGGCGTACGGTGTGTTAGGTTTTATTGGTAGAGGGATTGAGTTTCGGAGCCATGAGGTCATGTTGCAGCTGTACAAAACTCTGGTGCGGCCGCACGTGGAGTATTGCGTACAGTTCTAGTCACCACATTATAGGAAGGATGTGGAAGCATTGGAAAGGGTGCAGAGGAGATTTACCAGGATGTTGCCTAGTATGGAGGGAAGGTCTTATGAGGAAAGGCTGAGGGACTTGAGGCTGTTTTCGTTAGAGAGAAGGTGGTTAAGAGGTGACTTAATAGAGACATACAAGATGATCAGAGGATTAGATAGGGTGGACAGTGGGAGCCTTTTTCCTCGGATGGTGATGGCTAGCACGAGGGGACATAGCTTTAAATTGAGGGGTGATAGATATAGGACAGATGTCAGAGGTAGGTTCTTTACTCAGAGTAGTAAGGGCGTGGAATGCCCTGCCTGCAAAAGTAGTAGATTCGCCAACTTTAAGGGCATTTAAATGGTCATTGGATAAACATATGGATGATAATGGAATAGTTTAGGTTAGATGGGCTTCAGATTGGTTTCACAGGTCGGTGCAACATCGAGGGCCGAAGGGCCTGTACTGCGCTGTAATGTTCTATGTTCTATTTATAAAGTCAAGAATCTTGTATGTGTTTTCAAAGAGTCTTCACAAATTGTTCTGCCTGCTGCCTTCAAGAACTCATGTACACGGACCCCAACTCTGTTTTTTTAACCACTCAATATACTTAATGGTAATTTCTGGACAACAGAAGGAGGAAAAGCTCATAGGAACAAATGTTGATAAGGTCCCTGGACCTGACGGCCTGCTTCCTAGGGTTTTAAAATAAGTGGCTACATCTTTTGCAATCTTCCAGAAATCCCTAGAATCTGGAAAGTTCCGATGGATTGGTAAACTCAAAATGTAACACCACTATCACAGAAAGGAGGGACAGAAAACATGGAACTATAGGCCAGTTAGTCTAACATTTACCACTGGTAAAACAGTGGGATCCAGTGGAACAGAGAAGAACATAACCATATTGACTCTGCCCAACTGTATGAAAAGGAAATCACATTTGACAAATTTCTTTTCGGGATGTACAAGCAAGGTAAATAAAGGAAAACCAGTATGTAATGTCTCTGGACTTCCAAAACGCATTTGATAAGGTGTCACTTTAAAGCTTACTACTCAAGGTAAGAACCCGTGGTATTGGGGGATAATATGAGCTTGAATAGAGAATTGGCTAATGTACAGGAAATATTCAGGTACACTGGACTCCCTCCTGGTTCAGCCTTTATTCATTGCAGTTTAGAAGAATGAGGGATGACCTTATTGAAATACAATATCTTGAGGGGACTTGTGCATGTCCGGAAGATTATTGCTCATGTGACATAGTTTGAGATTAAGAGATCTCACTTTTAGAAACTGAAACAAGAAGTTCTCTCCAAGGGCAAGTTCTCTCTGTTGGTTTGTGAACCTGAAAATTTCACAAGCTACAAGCAGTGGTGTGAGACAGGGATTAGTCCTGGAACTTTAACTATATACAATCTATATTAGTAACTTGAATAAAGCAACCAAGAATATTGTAGCCAAAGTTTGCTGATAATGTAAAGATAGGTAGGAAAACAGGCTGAGGAACAGTCACAATGTTAGTTGTTCCTTAAATACATCTGCATTACTCGCATCAACTACTCCCTATGATGATGGGTTCACAGTGATGGGTGCAAGATGGCTATGATAAATTGGAAATGTCACTTAAAGGGAGGACAGTGACTAGGCAATGGCAAACATTTAAAAACAGCGCGTTGTGGAACTGCAACAATTGTTCATTCCTGTCTGGCACATAAATAGAAGGGAAAGGTGGCCCAACCATAGCTAACCATGGCCTCATCTTGTTATCTAGCTTGCCTTTAGTAACATTATTCTAGCTAATTTTACCATGGTAGCAAACCTGAAGTATCACCATGCTTTGAAGCAACTAGATCGACTGCATATGCACAGGATTAGATACAAAGAAGGGACATACAAATAGGCTAAAAACAGCAGACTTGGGGACGGGGAGCAGTTCATACTTCAAAGGGGTGCAGAAGGATTGATTAAGATGGGGAAAATACAGTAAAGAGCAAGCTTCTGGGGAACAATGATTGTAAAAGCTTCTATAAGTATGTGAAGTGAAAAAAGTAGTCAGGATGAATGCAGGTCCATTACAGTCAGAGGCAGAAGAATATAATGGTGAAACAAAGAGTTGGCAGACCAATTAAATACACATTTGAGTTATGTCTTCACAAAGCAAGGTATCACGGTGGCTCAGTGGTTAGCACTGCTGCCTCATAGCAACAGGGTCTTGGGTTCAATTCCACCCTCGGGCAACTGTCTGTGTCAAGTTTGCACATTCACCCCGTTTCTGTGTTTCCTGAGAGCATTCCAGTGTCCTCCCACAGTCCAAAGATATGTGGGTTAGGTGGATCGGCTATGATAAATTGTCCATTTCGTCCAGAGATATGCAAGTTAGGTGAATTAGCCATGGGAAATGCAGGGTTGCAGGGATAGGGTTAAGGGAGGTGGGTCTGAGTGGTACGCTCTTCAGAGAGCTGGTGTGGATTCGATGGGCTGAATGCCTACTTCCGCACTGTAGTGATTTCTGTGATTCTAGTACATAGAACATTTCCAAAAATGTTGGGGAAGTAGGAGTCTAGCAAGAGGGAGGAATGAAAGGAAATCAGTCAGGGAAGTGTTGGAGAAATTGAGTCCCCAGGGCCCAATAATCTATATCTGAGAAAACCTAAGTGGCCCTCGAAATAGTGGATGAATGGTTGATCATCCTTCGAGATGCGACAAACTTTCGAATAGCTCCTATGGATTAGCAGCTAACACCACTATTATTAAAAGAAAATTTAAAAAACTATCCTAGAATTCTAGAGCAATTAGCCTGACATCGGTAGTAGAGTAGTGTTAGAGGCCATTATAAAATGAGCAGGGTACTTGGAAAACAGTGACAGGATCAAAACGAACATTAATGTATAAAAGGGAAATCAAATCTACTGCAAATTTTTAAGCGTGTAGAGTTGACAAGGGGGAGCTAGTGAATGTGGTTTACTTGAACTTTCAGAAGGCTTTGATAAGGTCCCACACAAGAGATTAACAAGTAAAGCATATGGGATTGAGGATAATGTGCTGGCATAGATGGAGAATTAGTTGGCAGACAGGTAATAAGGAATAAGAATAAGTAGGTTTTTTTCAGAGTTGCAACTAGTGACTAGACAGTACTGCAGAGATCAGTACTTGGCCTCCAGCTATTCACAATGTATATGAATGATTTAGATGAGAGAACTAAATGTAATACTGCCACGTTTGTAGGTGACGCAAAACTAAGTGAAAGGGTGAACTGCGAGGAGGATGCAGAGATGCTTCAATGAGATTAGGACAAATTGGGTGAGTGAGTAAGTGCACTGGAGATGAAGTACGTGGTAACAAAAAACAGGGAGGCAGATTATCTAAATAGCTATAAACAGAGAGGGGAACGTGCAACAAGACCTGGGTGTCCTTGTATATCAATTGCTGTAAGCAAGCATGCAGATGCAGCAGGCAGAGAAGGCACATGGTACATTGGGCTTTGTACCAAGAGAAGCAGGAATGACTTGTTATAAAATTTCACAGGCCTTGGTTAGACCACAATTGGAGTGCAGTTTTGGTCTCCTTATCCGAGCAAGGATGCTCTAGCTATAAGATGGACTTATTTTTGAGATGGCAAGACTGATGTATGAAGGAGGACTGGGTTGGTTGGATTGTTGGCAAAAAAAAAACTCCCTTAATTTTGAAGTGTCAATATCATCAAATATGCATTTCATGGCACCTTTTCCATGAAAGAGTTGATTCAAAAGCTTTTCTTTTACATTAAAAAGAGGATTTTAACGGTTGAAGCCTCATGAGCTGCAAATTACACTTTGTGACCTTGTCTCAGAATAACTTTCTGTATACAGAAACCATATCAATTAACCAAGGATAAGCATTTAAAATTTAACCAATTGAGACACCAATGGGACAGCTACACAAATGTGTTATCATGCTATAGAGGAATACTGACTAAAATTCTAGTGTGCCCCATTGGTTTTCCAACAAGTTTGTTATTGTCTCATTTCTCTTAAAAAGCTTTCAAGCTTTGGGATGTTCATCTTAGGAATAGAAAACACAAACAAGAAAAGGCCATTTTGCACTACAAGGCCACAATTCAATATCATTTGTGACTGAACTTTATATCTGTTAATAACCTTTGAAAGGTTTTTGTAGGCAATTTCAGTTATAAAATTAATTAAGCAATAATTGTCATTCATGGAGAGTACAAACTTATCACTCTGCGTAAAGAAATACTTCCTAATCTCACTCCTGCAAGGCCTCTCTAACTTTTAGAACATGACTCTTCAGTCTAGATTCTCTAATTGGAAGAGATAGTTCCTTCCAATCTATCCTACTAGTAGCTTGTAATAGCTGGAGAAACTTGATCAAATCACCCCATAACCGTTAATAGAATAAACTCTTAGTTTGTTGAATCTCACTTTGTAGTGTGACCCTTGGAGTCCGGGTATTATTCCATTAAAATTCAATGCTAACTCCCATATCAATATATTTTAAGTTGTGGTACCCAGATGAGTTGCAATCTCCAGGTCCAATCTAATAAGTGTTGACATGTGGTAGGGGCAGGTTACATTTAATACAGTCAGATACAGTGTAAAGCCTCCTTTATTCTGCTCAAAAAGAAGTGTGTGCAATATCCACATTGGGCCAGGGTGGTTTTTTTCTCTTGTTTCCCATGACAGCCATCACATAGTATGCCAATTTTGGCACTATGCCCACAAATAACTGCCTTAAGACTGCCCATATCTATTGAATCAGAAGTCAGAAGACTTCCATCTCATTCTGAACAGGATTTTAACCCAGAAGTTAAGTCATGTCTAACCCACTTCAGCCCAGGCTAGACAGAAAATTAGTTAACTTCAGCCATCTAGTCTGACAGAAAATTTCAGACATGTGAAAGAATGTTTGCTGAGATTATTTAATATAAATAGGTATGGCTTCATTGGCCTTAACTGGTCATACAGAAAAATGCACGCGCACAGAATAATGGCAAAGTGCCAGTGGATAAAACATTACCACATCTTTAGGTGCAGAAGTTTTTTTTTTTTTAAAACTAGCTTTTCATTTCACTTCACTGAATTAAGGTCATAACTTCAGACTTCAATAAATAAAAAGGTAGAGGCAGAATGGCTGAGGTTTCAATTGTTCTGCAATGATGAATTATTGAAAAATGGATTAATCTTACCTATTTGAAACTGTAATTGATTATACGGTAGTCTTTGTTCAACAGATGACCGTCTCAGCCTCTTCACTGTTGCTGCAGTTGTGCTCACATCTTGGCATCTTTTCCTTTTCCCTGCATTACTCTTCACTATTTCTGCATTTTCCTTTTGTGATTTATTTTCTTTGACTGGGTTACTGTAGCTACTCAGTGAAGGAAAGTGATCGTTGTCAACTTGGCAGGGCATTGACCACTTGCTGGGAAAGTGCTGAACTTTTTTAGATGGCAAACTGCTTAATCCAGTCTCATTACTTGTCCTTTCTTTGTGCTTTCTCTTCCCTTTCAGTTCACATAAAGTAGGACCTGTAGAGTTTAAACTTTGTGTTTCAAATGCATTAACTTCACCGCAAGAATCATTATGTTCTTCAGTGTACCTCTGAAGGTTACTTGTGCCTTTAGTATCAGATAATCTATTTTTGGACTGCTGCCAGACATTGTAATTTCTAAAATGGCTCTGTTCCAGAGAGTTTATCTTTCTTAGAAATACCCTACACTCTTTAAAATTGCCCAGTTTCCAGTTTGCATTTTGGAAAGTGGTTTTGTGTTGCCCCTCCAGAACGGACTCTTGTTCGGAATCTTCTGCTATGGATTCAAGTTTTTCAGTTCTTTTGCACTTGGGGTAGTTTGTTGAATTTAAGTTCTGTACGGTGGCACAGTCAGATAAACCAACATCTATGCTATTTACAGGTTTAAGTTTATCTTTGCTTTCATTTTCCTTTCCACTGGACATTAATACTGGCTCTCCCTCAGGTGGAAAGCTATTAATTTCAAGCTCAGTGTTCTTACTGTTTTTGCTGACTGCTGTTTTCATGGTGTTTGGTTTCAGATTTTGGTACTGTGGATTTCCGCTTACACATTTCCAAACAGATTTCCATTGTTCATACTGAACTCTACGATGCTGTGACAATTCTTTGTGGCTTGAATGTTGTGGTTTACAGCAAAGTCGTAAAAGCTTCCTTCTGTCTTTATAGACTTTTAAATTGGACATTCTGCTTGAAGGAGGGAAGTGCGTTCTTGGTTTTACAGGAGATTCTAGTGCAAATTTTTTAAGGTGCTTTTTTAAATGCTCTGCTTGAGGATTTGGACAAGTATCAACTTGACTTCCTGCTGTTAAAACTCCATTAGCATTCAGAACTTCAATAGGATCACGTGCATTCTCTTTTCTTACAATAGATAATGAATGAGTTTCTGTTGTTTGCATGAACCATGCACAAATTTTATCCATATTACAATTTTCCTGAAACAACATTTGGATAGGAGAAACTTGAACATGCTTATCGTCACCCACAATCACCACGGATTTAGTTACTCTATCTAAGTGACCTGGGTATTTTCTTTTGTCAGAAGTACTCAATTCTGCAGGATCAACAGGCAGCCAGCCACGGTTTACCTGTTCAAATTGCTTGTCAAGTTCTTCCTGCAAAGTTTGTTTTGAAATGGAGGTGTGCCACCATTTCAGTGAAGTGCTCGATACAAAAATTGGATCTGCTGATAGTTCCGAACTACAGCCAAATTCAGCTACTTCATTTGTGGTTTCCTCTTTCTTATTCCCTGATGGAAGATTTGAGGTGATGTTTTCAGATAACATAGTAATATCCAAATTTCTGTTTTTAGCAAGTTCATTCCCTGGTTTGTTTAAAAGCACTTTCCGAGATTTGTGTACCAAAGCATTACTTTGAGAAAATGAACTGGAGCTTGCGAAAGAATGCAGGAAGTGTAGAGATGGTTTTTTGAGTCTAACAGAATGTCTCAAGGGTAGGACAGATTTTGCTTTCTTGTCACCAAGACTATCCTTTGAACTTATTTCACAATCATTTTGTATTATTGCAGATGATTCACCATCTTTGTTTGATGCATCTACAGACAATTTATTTGAAGGTGAATACTCTTGGACTAATGGAGGTAATACACTATTAATACTGACTTTTCTTTCCTGAGGTGATACTGCATCAACAGTTACTGATATACCTGAAATTTTAACTTTTGCAGGGCGCCCAGGCTTTCGCTGTCCACTGTTAGAAGTTTTAACAGCAGTCGGCTTACTATTTGGACAAATAGCATTGCCACTGGTATGAAGCAAAACAGTTTTATCTTTAATGGGTCTCACTAAATCAAATCGATTTTCACCTTGGGTCAAAGATGCAGAACTAGGAGGCTTACCAAAAAATTCCTTTGCAGACCCCTGCACCATTTCTTCTATTTGTTTCTCACAAGTTTGCTTTAAATCACTCTTAGTAGCATTAACTACAATTTTATCATTCTTGGACACAAACCTTCTGAACCGTCTTGATCTTCCATAGACAACGGTAATTCTAATATTGCGGCTATCGTCTGTGGAAGATAAACGTAATGTACTGACTTTTCCACTATCTGGAGCTTCAGCTGTACATTCGACAGGTTCGGACAGTTCTACTTTAGGTTTAGGTGGTCTGCCCTTTGGCCTTTTAATCTGTTTTTCCACAGGTGGGCCTAGTTTTTTGGGACGACCAGGCTTGCGTTTTAGAATAGACTCGTCCATTTCTTTTGGAGTTGCTGCCAATTCTATTATTTGATCAGTAATTTCAACTGCAGCTTTTCTTGTAAAACTGTTGGAACGAAATGCAGAACTATTATAACTACAGGTATCCATTTCAATACTACAATTTACTTCCTCACAGGCAGGTGAGCTTTCTGAACAACTCTGCAAACATTCTGCTGCATGACCGCTTTCACCTACTGAATTTGGGAAATATTCCACTGTATCACCACTTTTAGGACATCGGTTTGGGAAATATTCTGGCATATTACTACTTTCAGCAGCGAATGAATTACTTTCCTCTGGTGTTTTAAGGAGAACATCAAGATCAAGGTCTGAAATACAGCTGGTTGTGTCAACCTTAGAAGAGTTTACAGATGTCAGTGTATATTTAATTCCTTTTTCACTGCTTATCTTAGACAGAAACATTAGTTTTATGGGGCTGCTGTAGCTACTTGGACAATTCTGACCCGTTTTATTTGTAGAATCAGTATTCTCAAAAACTGAGCATTCACAAGTTGCATGTTGTAGACTATCAGGCTTGCCATGAAATTCCTCTGCAGAGTCTTTTTGCTGCAATGGAGAAATTACACTCAGGTAGTCACTGCCTAAAAGTGAATTAGACTCAAGTATATTTGCGGCTCCAGATTCAGGTGAACCGGACAGTAAATTGTTTACTGCATTCTCCAAAATTCCATGCTTGTCCACAAATTTTGAGTAATCCTTAGTGCAAAAATTAATACAAATATCAGATTGTGCAGGGCCATTACATTCCATGGAACAAACTGCTTCCACTGGGTCAGTGTTCAACACTGTAGTTGTCTTCTGCATTTTATTATTACATTGATCCACAAGTTCATTTGGTACCACCTCAGGTATATTAGGCTCATTTCCAAGATTTTCATTGCTTATGCTATTTTTGCCCTTCAGAAGTTCAGTCTGACTAGAAGTGGATACTTCTAAGCTTTCAGTCACTTCATATACAATTATATTGTCCTGTCCATTGAGTAGCTCTTGCTTCATGGGGCTGTCAGTGTTAGACATTTTACTAGCACTACTCTCACAGCCCAGGTCAGGTTTTTTTGTCTTAATAGGTTTACGCTGGGGATTTTCTGAAAAACAAGCAGCATAAAACATTTTTCTAGGCTCAGTAATGTATATAGAAAACCTTTCTGGAGGCAGAATATTTCGTTTGGCCCTGCCAATATTCGACCTACAATCTATCTTCTCAGAATTTTGCAAGACCACAGGCACATCTTTATAACCAGGATCAACTACTGAGTTGTCAGTGCTATCCCTGGGAGTCTCGACATCCATGTCAGTTACCTCAAGAATGTTTAACAGATCCAAGTCTGAACTCTCTGGTGAATTTATGCATTCTGTCACGTCTCCCGATTCACCAAATACATGCTCTTCAGATAAGCTCTTAAATTCAGTTTTGCATGGATCATGGAAACCACCACAATATTTATTTATGTTGTTTGCACTTTGCAAATCTTCACTGATGGGCGAATATTCTCTGGCTAGTGAGCATGCATCTCTAATGCCGCTCCTTGCTAGCCGCTTTCCAAATTTTTCAGATGCCGATTTCTTACTTGAAAAAAGCTGGTCAAGATTTGCAAGGTCTCTCTTTATTTGCACTGTTTGACGTCGAGATAATGGAGAATCTGGAGAGTTATGCAGAGCAATTAACGTTTCTTGACGTTTCCGAAAACGTGTTTGAATTATTCGGTTTTCCTCATGCTGCCTAAGTAACTCCATTAGGCTATAATCGCTGACCTTTGCTTTGTGTAGCAAAGTGGCTGCAATTTCTCTCAACTTAAAACTACCATTACTGCCTTGGTAAGAATCATTGTTGAAGAGATCAGCCAAAATTTGGCCATCATCTGTTGTTTCTATTGTTTTCAACTTTTCATTTATTCGTTCCATTACCTCCTGAAACGAAGCAGAATTTTCACCTTTTTCCAGATCATTCTCAGAATCTGATGATCTACTAATTTCACCAACTGCCACAAACTCATCTATTCCTTCCTCGAATTTTTCTGCAAATTTTGACTTGTGTGTTTGGCCTGAGACTACTGAGTCACAATCCTTTTCCTCTTCTGGTGAGAGAGAGGGAGGGTGAGTAATAATAAGCTCAATACTATCAGCATTCAAAGCTGAAGCAGTTTTGCTCATTTCATCAATTTCAAACTCATCAGTTCTTACTGGTGATAGAGGTGGAGGGGATGGACTTCGTGGTTTACTATAATCTGTGACATTACCTGGGAGGGCTGAAGATTCTGGTGTTTCTATGCTGCAAGTCTCTTCATCTGGAGGTTCACTGCAAGCTTGAATGGTACTTTCTTCAGCATAAGTGCATCCAGACAAATGTTTATAAGACCCAGTACAAATCTGGTAGATATTGCTTCTGTTACACTGTTTGCAAACTCCATTACTTATTATGGTGAGACAGCCATGAGTTCCTTTTTTGCATGATAAACAACGTAGGTTTCTTAAGCAGCAAGAAACCCATGGAAAAGGAACTTGCTGTACAGTTTGCAAGGTGCAATTTTCACACCATTTGAATCTGTTACAGTTACATAATCCCTCACATATTTTATTTTCATTGAAATCAGGTGAGGAATTTTTAAATTGTGTAATTCTTTGATCTCTGTATTGCACATTGGAAACGTCTTTCTCTTGGATTAGACACTTAAGCATTGTAGTCAGAAGTTTCCGATGATTAGGGCATAAAGTAGATAAAATTTCATTTAATGCTTCATGATTTATGCAGCCAGTTTTCTCAGTAGAGTTGGACACCACTCCTGCATCAGTTTCCTTCTTAAAACTGCAAAAGTAAATAAAACATATCATTACAATATTCCTTCTAGCAAGGTTACAGTTAATAATGATGGCAAAATTGTTTAAATACAATCACTAAAAATATTACACCGAAACCTCAAACATTCAAAATCAGCTCCTGGAAGAAGAGATGCTCACTTGTAAAATGAGCGCTTACATTTGACACAATACTGTGCCAAAATCTTTACATATACACACGCAGATCCTGCAAAAAAGACAAATATCACAACTACAGCATTTTTCTCAGATATTAGTTATTTGTATACGAAGGGGACATGATTGCCAGCTACATGAAGTTGTCATGCATAATTAGATTTAAAGAACAAGATCAAACTGGACAAATTCAGGGAACAAGAGCATTCGTTGAGTTTTTGACATCTAGAAAAATATGTTAATAAATTATTGAGTAAAAGTTTCTCAACACGATGCTTGACATGCATTAAACATGACTTTAGGACATGAAATTAAGTCAAAGTTTTAGATCATTCTAAACAAACTTACAACATTACATCAATTTCCATGGTTATAATAATTTGCTGGATCTTGCTTCCATTTTTGTGCATCTTGGCACAAAGGTGCAATCCATGCAAATTATTAACCCAGTTATTCTGCAGCATGGTAAAAATTAAAAAAGATGAAATTTGAAAAATGTCTGAGAAATACCATCATAGAGTAAACCAGTACTCAATTTTCATTCAAATTAGATCACATTCTTTCTTGAAACAAAACAACTTTAAATAACATTTAGCCTTTATAAAACAGATATTTGATAGCAATGAAGAACATAGGTGACTGCCATCCTTGCTGAAAATTTTCTTGGGCTGCTAATCTGTTAGAATTGATTGAATTGTACCCACTATTGTAAACACAGTTTTATATCTCAGAACAACCAACAATATGCATATACGACCCGATTGGTGACCAGTTTGTGATGTCAGCCAATTCAACGCACTATTGACCGATGCAGTTACCACTAGGCAATAGAAAATTTCTTTTCAAGTAACTGATTATCTTCTAAAGAGTTCAGCATAAAAATTCGTATGAGAACTATAGCATTAAATCACATTGAACTAAGCATATGCTGGAAAATATAGATTCTTTTAAAAAAATTCCAAGTTAACAAATATTTCCTGCTTCAATGCGGCAGAAACAGTGATCCAGATAAACTTATAGCTTTGATCCCCAGTTCACCTTTACCAGCCTCTGAACAATTTAGGTAGCCTTCTGACCCAGCCATTAAAGTGACATGTGTATTCTCAATCCTATTTCTTCACATTTAACTTGCAGTCCTAATTTAGATCCAAGCTATGAGGACATGAACAACAGCAGTTCAAGGTGGCAGCTCACCACCACATTCTCAGGGGCAACTAGAGATGGCAGTGCCCATGTCCCATGAGTGAATAAAAGAAGGATCCAACTATAAAACTCATTCATTATAAATAAAGCTGATGAACTTTCAATTTGCAGCCTTGCAGTTTCAGGGAAGGAGGAGATCAATAGAAGTATCTCTGCCTTTTAAAATATTAAATAATACAAGACTAAGCTATGTACTTTGCCATTCTAATGCATGACCCAATTCCATTATATCACATCTTTAATACTTTACACAAAAATACTGACATTAAATCATTCATCGATACACTGTTGCTTAATCTACCTGCATGCAAATGGAAAAATGTGCACTGCACTGAGATAAACCTATTAGTGTCAGTTCATTGGCAATAAATCAGAACTATTGCCAGATAAAAAAATTATTGTAAGACACCAATAAACCATGCCAAGAACCAGGATAAAAGTTATGGGAAAAAATGGTCTAGAGAGAGTGACACCTTTTGGCAAGTTGCACTAAGATCATACTTTATTCTGAGATTGTAATACATGATTGGAAACCCCAAAGAAGGTCTAAATCAGAAATACACCAGTTTCTCATTATTCTGAAAAACTAGTTGTGCGGACATTTATTCACTCGATCCAAGCAACTTTCAGAATTATTTTAGTACAGTAGTGGAAAATTGGAAGATACATTATTTGGCTCAGTAAAATTATTGCTGTTTTATAATGTTTTTAATGTAATTGAATAATACAGAAAATTCTGAAATGCAGAAATTACTTCCTCCCAAGAATTTTCTGTTGCAAAGGTTACAATACAATTGGCATCTTGTCTTTTAATTGAAATTTCAATCTTATCCATCCATCTTGTATTTTTTCCATTTGGTTTTGAAGATTCCAATTGCAGTAAGTGGGCTATATTCAAATTACTTTTTGTCTGAGAAGCATATTTTTAACAATGTAAAATGCTAGTTTAATTCTTGCTGTGACTAAGCATTCAAAAGATAGTTATCAATACTACTTGGAATTTTCAAATTGCTAAAACATTAATGGAACAATATAAAAGCCACCCTTGTCACTGAAACATACCTATTTCACAGATTTACAAAACTCATTATGCAAATACTTTCCATTATACTATTCAATATGAAATATATCTCCAAAGTCAGGATTACAATTGGTGTTGCTGTTCCTATGAATCTGCTGCCCTTGTCCTTCTAGATGGTAGTGGTCATGGGTTTGTAGTGCATCTTGAGGACGGGGCATTTTGCTATTACTATGCATCGGTGGTGGAAGGAGTGAATAGCATCACATCCACAAACAATCAAGCCGGCTGGTTTGTTCTGAATGATGCCAAAGTTAGTGTGTTGTTGGAACTGTCTTTGTCCAAGCAAGGGGGAGCGATATATTGCATGCCTGACTGGTGCCTTAAAAATAGTAACATGATATGGGAAGTCAGATGAGTTACTCGCTGCAGGATTCTTTGACTTGTTTGTGTAGCCACAGTACTTATAATGTATTGTCCAATTCAATTTCTCATCAATGGCAACCCCCAAAATGTTAACAGTGGAGGTACGGTGTCAGTGATGTCATCGAATGTCATGGGATGATAAGGATTTTTTTTGGAGATGATCACTGCCTGGTAATTTTGCGATGCCCGTCGTTTGTCAACCCAAACCCGGATACTGTCCAGGTCTTATTACGTTTGGATGTGGTCTGCTGCAGCTTTTAAAGTTGTGAATGTGCAATATTTAGCAATCAACATCTCCACTTCTGATTTTATGGAGAGAAGGTCATTGAAACATTGAGACGGAGCTTCAACAACCACAACCAGCCAAATATGGCCTCGATGCTAAGGCCTGTCACACACACACACACACCTCAAGTCCAGCTCTTTTGTCCATGTTTGATTCAAGGCTGTAATGAGGTCAGGAACCCAAACTAGCCATCAGTGATCAAGTACTGCTTGATAGCACTGGTAATGATATTCTCCATCACTTTACTGATGCTTGAGGACTATTTCCAGAATGTTGTCCCAGGGCCTATACTTTGCACCATACAATGGCCTGATATCACATGGAGTAAATCGAATTGGCTGAAGACTGACATCTGTGATACACAGGACCTCTGGAGGAGGCCACTTCTGACTGAAGATCGATACAAATACTTTGCCCTTGTCTTTTGCACTGATATACCGAGATCACAGTCTGTTGTTCAATTGTCTACTACTATTCACAACTGGACGTAGCAGGATTGATCTGTTGGTTGTGAAACTGCTCAACTATGTCCATCACTTACTGTTTTTGCTTTTTGGCATGATGTAGCCCTGTTTTGCAGCTTTACAATAATGATGTCTCATTTTTAGTTATGCCTGCCTGCACTCTTCACTGACCTAAGGTTAATCCCCCAGATTGATGGTAATGGCAGAGTAGGGATATGCTAGGCCACAAGGTTGCAGATCATACAATTTTGGCCACTAATGCCCCACATGCTTCATGGATATTCAATCTCGAGTTGCTAGATGTGTTCACAGTTTATCTCCTTTAGCAGGGCGAGATGTGGCACACAACACACTAAAGGGTATTCTCAATGCAAACAGAGAACTTCCACTCCACAAGAACAGTACAGTGGCAACTCTCACTGATACTGTCACAGGCAGGTGCTCTTGCAGATTAGTGAGGAAGATGACAAGTATGCTTTGTTTGTTCCCCCTCAACCTGTTACAGATCCAGCCTAGTAACTCTGCTCTTTAAGGTGCTAACTCAGTTCATAGTGGTGTGGCTCAGCGACTCATGATGGATATTGAAGTCCTCCACCTAGAGTACATTCTGTGCCATGCGATCCTCAGTGCTTCCTTCAAATGATACTCAATATGGAAGAGAACGGATTATTAGTCAAGGCAGGGGAGTACATGGTAAACAGTAAGTTTCCTTGCCCGTGCTCGGCATTAGACATCCTTCCCGACTTTGCTGCCACCTCTACTGGGTCTGTCATTCCAATGGGACAGAACAGAATACATTCAGAAATGGTGATGTTATCTGGAACATTACGTATACAGTATGATTCCAGTATGATTACATCAGGCTGTTGCTTGACTAGTCTGAGACAGTACTCAATTTTGTCACTAGCCCTTAGATGTTACGAAGGAAGAATTTGCAGGCTTGATAAGGCTGTTTGTCAGTGTTGCTCTGGTGCCTTACTCAATGCCAGGTGGTCTGGCTAGTTTCATTCCTTTTACAGGGTTCAAACTAAAATGGAATGGGACCACTGTCCTTGCAAGAAGGTTCACTAACGCGCTTGTGGAGGGATTAAAGTAAAGTGGTATAAAATGAAGATGGTTTAAGAATCACTGCAAGGTATACAAAGGCAGTAATACAACACATACATGTAAGTGCAGAAAATGTAATGAATAAAGGTTGATAAATTATGAAAAGTAGCCACCAGTGGCAACAACAGAACTGGGATTTAAATATGGTGAGGAGTGGACTCAATATAGAAGTACATATAGTGCTCAGTAAAAGATAATGAAGGAAAACAAAAAGGTGTGAGGTGGCACTACTGATTAAGGAACATGAAGTGCTGGAAAGAGGGAACATCCTAGGGAGCATGAATAGAATCCATTTGCATAAAGGTGAAAAATAAAAATGTTACCTATTC